GTTTTCCACATTTCAAAAATAATCCTAATCAATTTCTTCTGTTTTATATGGTACTAATAGTATTATGAACAATAGTGGATCATGGGTGGATGGGGATAAATGCGCTTAAGCATTAATAGAGTATGACGACGTAGTTGTTTTGCTCTTAATTGGTCGAATCGATTGTCATATTTGTGAAATTATTTTTAACTACCCTTCTATGGCTTTACCTTTCTTGCCATCATTAAATTAATTGAAATTTTGCTACAAAAAATTGTAATCATATATGGATACAAGGTGGGATAAGAATAAGCAATGAGAAGAGTTTGGGAGTATTTTTAGTTAGATTGATTGACAAGTTATAAAAGATCATGACTATTTAACCCAGAAAATGACATGTATGTTAAATTGGTCGGGCAGACTAATTAGTGAGGTTATTTTTATCCCATAAATCTTCAATCCACCCTATGAAATTATAAATTATAAAATTATTAAGTTCACCATTTTTATACTCACTCCATTAGTAATTAAGTTCACCACATTCTATTCTCGTCCCATTAATTATAGAACTTATCTCGATTTTCACTTTTTGGGTTTTTTTCTATACCTATCTCATACAAATTGTATACAAAATATACTCAACTAGATTTCACTCTTAGTTTCTTTCATACAAATTGCTTTAATTGTCGGTGTTCAATCTCTATCTTCTCGGATCTCATCGTCGGAATAATACTCCAATTCTACTATGTACTTCTCTTTCTTCTTTTCTTAATCATAGGTTGAAGAAATTTGTAGAGAAAAAGATCTTCTTCACACACAAATTTTCAATATATAGAAAGATATCAGTTGGAGCCTTCGTTGGAGATCACATCTGAAGCTAAGTTTCTTAAAAAAGAAAAGGAAAAGATCATCAATTCTCCTTCCTTGAATCACACAGTCTATGATGCATAATTGTTTGTTCACTTTCAATAGATAATCCGGTTGAATATAAATGTATAGACTGTGTGATGTGAGATATAGAAAGAAACTCTAAAAGTAAAGGTTTAGATAAATTTAATTATTAATGGAGTGAATATAAAATAGAATGGATTTAGTTATTAGTGGAGTGAGTATAGATAGAGTAAATTTAATAGTTTTATAATTTATAGTTTAATGAGGTGGGAACGGAGAATTGTGTAGTGAGAATAGTCTCACCCCAAACTAATTCGGTTACGATTCGAATCTATCAAAATTAAATTCATACTTAATTATTTGTGGGGTGAGAATAACTCCATCCCAAACTAATTCAATTATGATTCGAATCCGCTTAAAATCAAATTCATAGTTAATTATTTCGTGTTAATTTCCTATCACGGTGACACACCATGTTAAAAATTGTAAACTCTAAACTAAATTACTTTGCATTAGTTCATCTATACTACTTATAAATGTCACTATCTGAGAAAAAACTTTTATTTTCTATTTTATCCTTAATTATCTATATCTATCTATACTTATACTAATAAAAGTACCTTAACAAATAAAATTTTTAATTTACTATTTTACCCTCATAAAGAATTAAAAGTTCATTCTATCCTTTCACACTTAATATTTAAATTACCATCATATTTTTATGCAATTAAATCTCTAAATTATGTCTAAGATCATTTTTAATTATATATTCCATATATATAAATGTCAATTTTTATGAAACTTTTTGATTGATTATATTACTCTTAAAAAATATATGCATCATTACAAGTTTTAACAAATATTCAAAAAAGCCTTCAAAAATTTCATCATATAATATTATTCACCTTATTTATAAAGACAATATTATGACTACATATTTATATTTTATTTTTCATCAAAATGTTTAACCTTTTCATTTTTAAGATAAAAAATAAATGTATATATAATTTTACATGATTTTTTATTCTCAGTAAATTTTTCAGACTTTGTTAAGATTTTATGTGAAAACTCTATTTTTTTTAAAAAAATTAATATACTTTATAATATATATTATAGCATTGTATATTAAATTTGATTCCAATTAACCTAGATAATCCTAAATACATTAAGACTCTAATATGATTGGTATATCGATAATTATTTTTATTTTACTCAATGATTTATAAGTAGAATTTTAATCAAATTAATTTTTTAATTATCTATTCTCTATTTATAAAAGTCAATTTTTATGAAATTTTTTGATTGATTATATTATTTCTAAAAATATATACATTATTTTACATTTTAACAAAATTTTCAAAAAAAACCTTCAAAGACTTCATCAATATAATAATACTCATCTCATTTATAAAAATAATGTTATGACTACATATGTATATTTTACTTTTCATCAAAATGTTTAACCATTTTATTTTTAAAATAAAAAATTATATATATATATTTACAAGATTTTTTAGTCATAGTAAATTTTCTAAATTATGTTAACATTTTATGTGAAAATTTGGATTTTTTTAAAAAATTTAATATGATTTATAATATATATTATGACATTGTATATTAAATTTTGTCTCAATTGACCTAACTAATCCTAAATACAATAAGTCCCAATACGATTAGTATATTGATAATTATTTTTATTTTATTCAATGATTTATAAATGGAATCTTAATCAAATTAATTTTAAAAAATTTAATTTTCAAACATTACTAAAAAATCACTTTCAATTACAAAATTATAGAAACAAAATAGAAATTTAATTAATTTTTTTTTCTTAAAGTTAGAACAATAACTCTTGAAAATATACAAAGTTTTCAAAAATTTTATAATGGAGCATGAGAGATGAAAAAATAAATTTAATAAATTTGAGATAATATTTAATTCAAGTACTTATATACTAAATATTTATTTATTAATTTTTTTAAGAAAAATTATTCACAAGTAACGCACGTGATGCATTGCTAGTTATACTAAAATCAATTATAATTTTTATATATTTTCTTTTATTTTTATTTTTTACCTTTATTTGACTTTAAACTTATTTTAGACTCTTTTATAAGGACTTCTAAATTCTTTTAAATTCATTTATTATATTACAGTTCCATACAATTTTCTACAGCTATACGAAGTAGTAAAGTCTTATATGTTAAATTATTATATACGTGTAATTACTAATTTAAATCCCACGATAACTGGATGGCTTCTAGGCTTTTTTTTCCTAGGGCTACCTTCAATCCACTAATTGATTCAATCATGGCTTCTGCTAATCCTTTGATTCCTAATGCCTCTCAGCCAGATGGGATTTGCTGCCCTTGGGGATTCATGGCGTCCTTAGGTGGGGGAATCTCTGATCCTACTAACCTAAATTGTTCTAACAAAGGTAAAGTTTCCTACACTGCTAAGCTTAAACAGAATGTAGTTGATGAACCTTCGTGTCAAATCCCTCCGCCAGTCATGGTAGGGGATATGGTTACTGTTAAAATTTCTGGGGACCCTTATCGATCAAAATTGGAAGAGTGTGAGAGGAATGTGATTGGTAGACTTCTTATTCCAAAGGGTACTAAGCCTTTAACTATCTTGGAATTGCGTGCTAAATTGGTGTTTCTCTGGAAGACAATTGGTGAATGGAGAATTGTGCCTTTGGGTAAAGGTTATTTTGATATTCATTTTTATCACTCAGAGGATATGAAGAAAATTTTGGCAATGGGCAATTGGAATCTCTCCCCTAGGGTTTTTAGAAATTCTCAATGGGTTCCAGAATTCAATCCCTATAATCAAGTGCATTCTCATTCCCAAGTTTGGATTCGGTTGTATGGTTTGCCACAAGAATATTGGCACATACGAAATTTATTGGAAATTGCTAGGGGTGTGGGTATTCCTCTTCAAATTGATAAGGCCACTTTAAATCAAATTTATGGCCACTATGCTAGAATTTTAGTTGAGATTGATATGACTAGTCCTATTCCAGATTGTGTCCGAGTGGAAAGAGTTGGGTTTGGTTTTTTTGTGGATGTTAATTATGAGAATCTCCTTGTTGTTTGTTCTCATTGCCATTTGGTTGGTCACGACATTTCCAAATGCCGTTTTATTAAGGACATTGGTGTCAAGGGTAATGTTAAAGAAGGTCCATTAAACAAGGTTGATAAGGGGATTGCTCATGAGAGTGTTAAGCCTCACGGTGTCGTTTATAGACAAAAACAGGTAACGGATGATGCTGCTATGGTAGTGCAGCAGACTGCTCGTGTTCCAGATGCTACTGCTATGTTAGTGTAGCAGATTACTCGTGTTCCATATTTGAATAATAGTGTCACTCATATTAGTGATACTCTAGGAACCAGTACTTCCATTAAATGGACAGATTTGTCAGATGAAAAAAATTCTGTAGTGGGATGTGAGGTTTCATCAGGCCTTGCACCTTTGATAAATGATGGGAATGTCAGGGTTTGTGACTTTTCTGTTGTTCATCTTGATAATGTCAATAGCGATAATGCTGCTAGCCTTAATCTGGTTAGTGGTGCGATTGACGCTCCAATTCCAGATTCTAATACCGTTGTTTCTCAACCAGTAGATGTGGGCATTCAAGAGGGTGATGCATTTACCATTGTTCTCTCTAAATCTCAACAAAAGAGATTGAAAAAGAAAGCTAAGTTCCCTCAGCAGGCTCCGTAGGAGATTCCTTATTTCCTCAGGGGTCATCATTCTGATCAAATTTCTTAATGAAAGTGTTATATTGGAATGCAAGAGGCCTGGGTAATAGGCTTAGAATTAAGTAATTTTTATAACATTCATAAACCAAATTTTCTTGGTTTAGCAGAACCTATGGTAGACATCTCCTCTATTCTTGTTTATTATTGGAGAGCTTTGGGTTTTAAACTGGTGGCTCTTAACAATCGAGGCTCCCTTCTTCCTAATTTGTTGGTCTTATGTGCTGATTCTATACCTGCTCCTACAGTTCTTTCTATTTCTGATCAACAGGTTACTTTTTAATCTTTTTTTAATAATAGCTTATGCAACTTTTCTATTGTTTATGCTTCTACCACCTATACTAAGAGGAGAACTTTGTGGGATGCTTTCTACTCTTTGAAAACCTCTATTACTGGTTCTTGGATGACTATCGGGGACTTTAATGCTATTCTTGGGGCCCATGAAAAAAAGGAGGTCTTCTTCCTAAAAGGATTTCTTGTGATGAGTTTCAGGCTATGAGTGACTATTGTGATTTTTCCCACATGGACACCAAGGGAGCTTTGTTTACTTGGGTGAGGGGTCTTCACTCCAGGGTTGAAATGAGGCTGGATAGAACTTTGTGCAATTCTCTTTGGTTGGATAATTGGGATGATATTTTTTGCATTTCTTTGCCTAAGCTTTGTTCTGATCATCATCCTCTTCTTTTCACTGCTACTAAGTCAGCTGCATCGGGTCCAAGGCCTTTATGATTTATTAATTTGTGGGTTTCTCACCCAAGTTCTAAGCAGTTTATGGGTGATACTTGGAATTCATGTTCTTTTACTGGTTGTCCCTTTGTTATTCTTAAATAGAAGTTGAAAGTTCTTAAAATTGGTCTTAAATCATGGAACAAAAATGTCTTTGGTAATGTTGATGAGTGAGTTAGGTTGTCTTATCAATCTCTTTCCTTTGTTTAGCATGATATTGACACGATGGGGCCCTTGGATCATTTGTTAGAGAAAGAATCTGATGTGAAAAAAGAGGTGTTTGATGCTCTCACAATTCAAGAAGGTTTTTGGAGGGATAAGTTAAGGATTAAGTGGGTTAGTGATGGGGACAAGAATACTACTTTTTTTCACAAAATGGCTAAGGTCAGAGTGGCTAAAGGTAAGATTCATACTTTGATGATTGATGATAATATTGTTCAAGATCCTAATATTATTCAAGACCATATTGTCTCCTATTTTCAAAATCTATATAGCTCTACTTCCCCCTTTTATAATAATGGTCTAGTGGAGTCAACTATTCCTGCTATGGTGACCGATGCTGAAAACTCTATGCTGACTTCTATTCTTTCTGTTAGCGAAATTAAAAAGGCTATATTTGATCTTGATCCTCATAACGCTCCTGGTCTAGATGGTTTCGGAGGTTCGTTTGTTCGTTTTTTCAGATAATATCACTCAATTTCGCCCTATTGCTCTTGATAATTTTTTGTTTAATGTCATTCCCAAGATCATTGCTGACAGGTTAAGTTCTATTGCAAGCAGAATTATTTCTCCTAATCAGACTGCATTTATTAAAGGTAGAAGCATTGTTGAGAATCTTGGGTTGGCTTCTGAGTGCTTTAATCTTTTGGATCTTAAATGTTTTGGGGGTAATGTGGGATTAAAGCTTGATGTTATCAAATCTTTTGATACTCTTCATTGGGGCTTCTTGCTTAAAGTTATTCAGCGTTTTGGGTTCTCTGATAAGTTTTTTCAATGGATTTCTACTATCTTATCTTCTGCTAAATTGTCTATCTTAATCAATGGTTCACCGTTTGGCTATTTCTCTTGTCAGAGGGGTGTTAGACAAGGTGACCCCTTATCCCCAATTCTCTTTTGTTTAGCTGAAGAGGTACTCAGTAGGGGGATTTCTTTATTGGTTGTTTGAGGGTAAGATTGCTCCTATTTCCTCTCCTAGAGGGTTTAAAGCTCCAACTCACTTGTTATATGTTTATGATATTTTTGTCTTTTGTAAGGGTACGTCCTCTGCCCTTTATTCTTTGCTGAATTTTTTGGATCATTATGATCAGGAATCTGGTCAAATAGTTAGTAAAGCTAAGAGCAGAGTTTTTTATTGGGAAAGGGGCAGTCCATTGACGACATTTTATTTCCTCAGCTCTCGGTATTAGTGAAGGCTCTGCTTCTTCTTTTACTTATTTGGGGGTCCCAATTTTTAGAGGTAAACCTAAGAGGATACATTTGCAGTGTTTGGCTGATAAAGTCAAATCTAAACTAGAGGGTTGGTACTGTAAACTTCTCTCTTTAGCTGGGAGAGTTCAGTTGGTGAAAGCAGTGATTTATCCTATGCTCTTGCACTCTTTTAGGGTGTATCTATGACCAATTTCTTTGTTGAAGCAACTTCAGCCTTGGGTTTGCAATTTTATATGGATAGGAAATATCAATACTAGAAAGTTAGTCTATGTTTCTTGGGCTCGTTTATATTCTTCTCTTGCAGAGGGTGGTCTTGGACTTCGTTGTTTTAAGGCTCTTAATCGTGTTGTTTTCATGAAGACCTGTTGGTGTATTTTAACTGATAGTAGTGCCTGCAGTGGACTCATGCATGCTAGATTTCATTTATCTTTATCTAAAACTGCATATACTTACAAGATTTCTTCTATCTGCCTGGGTTTAAAGTCTATTTTGCCTGATATTGCTCTTCATGCTCAGTGGGTAGTTTGTGATGGCAGGAAAGTAGATTTTTGGAACGATAATTGGTTGGGTGAGCCTATTTATCAACAACTTCAGATTCTTCCTTCTTTGGCTGCTAGATTAAATTGTAATGTGTCCCATTTTATTTCCAACCACTCTTGGTCGTTGCCTTTGAATTTTTTATTGGCTTATCTAGATTTGTCTAATGTTATTCAAAGGACGACTCTTCCTATGGATGATAGATCTGACTTTTTAGTTTGTCCTTATAGTAATACAGGTGCATTAACATTCTTTGATGCTTATTCCCACTGTCATGATCAGAGGGCTATTGTTCCTTGGGCTCATTTATTATGGCATTCATTCATTCCTCACAGGCTTTCTTTTTTGGCATGGAGACTTTTTTGGAATAGACTCCCTACGAATGATCAACTTCAAAAACGGGGATGCTCTATGGCTTCTTGTTGTTGTTTATGCACTTCTAGAGGTCATTGGGAAGATGCGTGTCACTTGTTTATTTCTTGTGAATTTGCTACAGGTTTGTGGAGGTGGTTATCTTCAATTTTCCAGGTCTATGTTCCTACCCAGAATATTTATGTTTTGGATTTTTGGCAGCATATTCTCTCTCGTACTATGAGCTCTCAGGTATTCCATCTATGGATAGCTGCAGTGCTTTTGGTGTTTGAGGCTATTTGGTATGCTCGTAATTCATGTCGTTTTGAAGGCCAGAAGCCATTTCTAAAACAATCTTGCCTTCATATTCTTTTTAAGCTTTCTACTATTGGTAAAAGTAGTGTTGGAATAATGGATAATTCTGTTTATGATTTATTGATTCTTAGATCTATTGGTGTTCAAGGTCTATATAGAAAAGTCCCTTCAATTATTCCTGTAAAGTGGTATCCCCCTCCTACTGGTTGGATTAAATTAAACACGGATGGTTTAGCCAAAGGAAATTCTAGGCCGACTGTTTCTGTTGGTATTTATAGAAATAGTAGGGGTTTTGTTAAGGGAATTTTTAGTGATTTTTTGGGAGTGCAAACTATTTTCTATGCTGAATTGGTCGCAGTTATTATTGGTATTGAACATGCTTAGCAGAAGGGTTGGAGATACCTCTGGTTGGAGTCTAACTCTCGCTCTGTCATTCAATGTTTGGTTAATCCATCTTATGACCCACCTTGGTCCCTTAAAATTCGCTGGCTGAATTGCAGGTATTATTTGCAGCATATGAACTTCCGTTTTAGTTATATCTTTCGAGAAGGAAATGTTGTAGTCGATAAATGTACAAATATTAGTTTATCCTATTCAGGTTTTCAATGGTGGTGGGCTGCACCTACAATGCTTGCTACTCAACTCTGTAGTGACATGTATAGCCTCCCTTCGTTCGGACTCAAAACCATAGGGTGGTTTTGAGTCTGCTGTGAGCTGGATTGTGACATTTTATAAGCTACCGAGACCAGACTTTTTTTTATTTTTTCACTTCTTCCATGTATTCTCTTTTTCTCTCATTAATAATACTCAAGCTTATAGCACATGATTCGGGATTTCCTGGGATGCCAACCTAACCTAGTTGGGATGCTAGATAATCCTATGATGCTTGAAGCTCTATTTTATAAAAAAAAAAATTCCGCAATCAAATATAAATTATATTATATTTTTTAATATGAAATAATATAATAATATTATAAGCAATCTAATCAATCTATTTAACAAAAGAAAAGTTAATAATTCTATAATATAATTAGATAGACAAATGAGTAAAAAGATTGGAGAGATACCTAAATAAATGATAGATTAATTATTCAAAGACTTATAGAATAAATAAATAATTAAAACACGAATTAATTATTCGACACTTATTTTATTCATTAATTTAATTACTCATATAATTCAAATTTTTTATAAAAAAATATTATTTAAATTTATTTACGTGCAATGCACTAATTATAACAAATGAAAATAGAAAAATAAGAGACTTGGTTGATGTTGGTCCAATGTTAAAAGGCCTATCTGCGACAGAGTTTACCAGACGGACTCCAGTCTTAATCACTAGTGGGTTGTAGCCCTTCCTCTCATTACTATAATAAACGAATAAGTGGAGACACTAAAAAGTAATAAGAAATTAGAGAGTTTAGTTTTTTCTTAAGTGACTCGTTTTGTAAATAAATGAACTTGACATGATATAATTAATAAACAAATCAGGTATGAGTGAAATCAATAAAAAAATAAATTATACAATTTATTATATATCAATTATATACGATTCATGTATATATACTATAGGTGATGATACTAAGAAAGAATTCCAAGTCTGAGCTCAAGAGTTGAGGTTAGGAAGGGAGCTTAGCTCATGGAGTATGAGCTCGAAGGTCTAGACCTAGAACTCCCTCCACCTGCATCCTGAAGTAAATACGTGGAGGACAACTGGCATACACAAGGCATCGTCCCAACGGTAACAAGCTCCAGTCTAGGCACAAAATCCTTAAACCACCACAACCGTCGCCTAAAATCAAGCAAGACACCATGGAAGAAAGGCGAGAATCTCGCCACAGATCCCATAGAACTAGTAATTAGACTATAAATATTGTACAATGCCTCCAGTATGAGACAAGTAACTCTAGTGATATCAGAAACACTTTGTAAATCACACACACCATTAATACATATCAAAAGAGCAAGAGACTCTAATTAAAGTGGATTAGTCGAGCTCCCAAGTAGGAGAACCACTATAATTTTATTGTGTGAAGCATCCCTTATTTCCTAAAAGCTAATACACCATTTACATGAGCCCAGTAGCTCAGACCCAACTGGGCGAATAAATCTATACACCATTGCTGCTCATCCACATTCATACAACATCAGTTTGTCGTCATCTGTGGGAACGACTGTTCTTGTTATACGCTGAATTTTATCAGTAATTGATGGTTTCTACACGCAACATGAGCAGAAGTTAGATGGATCCCCCACGAATGCAAAACTAACAGGAGGCCACTAGCGGAAGGCAACAAGGAAATTTTCAGGACTTCCCT